TATATATATTTTTTTTGGTCGAAATATATATATAAAAAAAATACTAATTAAGGAAATAGAATATCAAAAAGTACGTAGAAATGCAAACGTTTGGAAGAGGAGCCTTCTTCTCGTCGATCGGACGGAGATCGGAGAACGGAATCCCGATGAAGGCGACGAAAGCGGCGGAAGCCGAACCGCCTGAAACTTCCGGTCGCCGGAAAACGCGGAGCGACCTGAGCAGGTACTCTTCACGTCCTATTTCGGTGGATTTTGTTGGTCGCCGGTGCGCGGTATCCGATTCTGGCATGGTGTCGGTCGTGCTGTTGTTTGCCTTGCCGATCTGTTCCTGCGTTCGCGCGAGTCTGGAGCGGTCTCGCTGCAGTGGCGGCTCCTGATTTCGCTCTCTCTCTCTCTCTCTCTCTCGTCTCGAACGGGGACGTGATTTTCGCATTCGTCGATGGGCTGTGTTGTGTGCCTTGCTCTCTTTGCTTTGTGTTTTGGCGGAGGTGTGCTTCGTTTCGTGATCTTTGGCTGCTCCTGTATGTGATGCGCGCGTGAAGCTGCTCTCCGATTGTGCGAATTGAGAGTTGTGTGCGATCTCGCGAAAATGGCGAGAAGATTGGACTGTGGTATCCTGAATGATAGGCGAGTCTGGTTGCTCGGGATGTGTATGAAAAGTGACCGAGTGTTCTGAGCTTTGTAGAAGATGAAGGGGTGCATAGGTGTTGATAAGGAGTTGACCGCACGCTTGGAGTCGTTCTTTTGCTGAATTGGCAATTTCCATCGGCCTTTGAGTTGGAATGCTTGACTTGAAAAAGGAACAAATCTGTCGAAAAACTTCGCAAGATGAGCACCTGGCTCAGTTGGCAGTGCAACTGAGACGTAGTTTACCACAGTCTTTTAGAGCAAATTGACTGATATTAAAGAAATAGAAGAGTATCTCTGTTTTTGTGGCTGTTCATGTCGAGGAGATACCGAATCAGCAGTTCTTTCTACGAGTCTTGTAATTTTGTGAAACGACTTTAGGATAAGTGCATGTGCTCTGAGTATTTACGCAGATGTAAATCTGTTCGGGAAAATTGAACCTTCTGCCATGGTAGTCCTAGTTAACTGTATGTGTGATCCGTAGTGGATATAAACAGGGCTTCTTTATCAGGCAGGCTTCTACTCATCCTTTTAGGCGATCTTGCTGTTTTTGTAAATGGTAAAAGAGGTTCCTACTTTGACTTGCAGTTATTATGTACTCAAGGAACCGGATGATTTAGATTCCTGCTTGTTTATAGGCTCATAGCTGTGATTATTTACAAGTGTTCTAAAGTGCATGAAGAAGCATGGCGCAGTTTAGCTGGAGATTATCGGTGGATGTATTCTTCATTGTTCATGTCGAGTTGTATAGAGTGGAATTTTCGCAAACTGAGATTTATTTGTCAACAGATTTTTCTTCGTGCCATTTGAGTACATTTCCATAGTTCTTTGAGTTGCTTTTGATGGGGTGCAACTGTGGTTGCTCACCAGTGATATATCTTTATTACTATTGACAACCATCCAAATTCATCTTTGTCTTTATTCATTCGCTTCTGCTCTTGGAATCGTATTCAGCAGCCGTTCAAAATTTTCTCCAATTCCAACCACTTCACCTACCTCATTACCCCAAACCTTTCTCGCAGTTCTATTCCACGGGAATGGTACCAATTCAACGATAGCAATTCTTGGTCAAGCTAAGCATTCATTTATAGCTAACCAAGATCACTTTGCACTGGGTCACCAATATTGCTGCACTTGCTTTCCAATTTTGGTTCACATGCACAAACAAGGGCATGGAAGAAGTCCTGCTCAGTTACCTTGCCATTAAAGGTGGTACCCAATGATAAAAAAATATCTTAACGCATCCTGGACCAGACCTCAAGAAGGTAACCCACTTGAGTAACGCTTTATCCTTTACGAGATAAACGTGTCCCACTTGGCAAGATCCAAGCTCTCCTCTTATGAGATGAATGATGAATTTCAACAAAGTCAAAGAGACTCTTCTAGTTGCATTATAGCTACCCGACATGGTTGCTTCCTTGCTAGATCTGTAGCATGATGTGTATGATGCTTATGAATTACGAGGTTTCCACCATTTTAAGAAGTTGATCATCATCCGGAAACGAGATACAATTTTGTACAAGGTGGAAGGAAGTTTAGAAAATAGTTCAACAATTTTGCATACTAAGGTTATGACTCAGGGATTGGTCAAAAGCATCAAGCTTCTAGGGATTAAAGACTTTGTAGGATAATGAAGAAGTTTGACCTGAAAGGTTTTCAGAGGTCATCATTGTGACCTTTTAAAGCGTTACATTCATTAGGATGGGCATGCAGTGGGGCAAGGTCATGGATTGCATTCCTCACCCCCGCCCCACTGGGCGTAGCATTGCGTCGCCATTGCTGGCACCCCATGCTGGGCAGGTTAGTGTGTGTGCACTTGTCCCCATCCCCACAGGGCAAGTTGGTTCCCCGGGAGGAACTCTTGGTCGAAAGAGAGCCATCAAATGGAAAGGAAAGGAATGGAAGTGCGTTTTGATTTTGACAGTGGTACAACACGGAGCAACAACAAGTTTCAGTGCTGTACAACAATTATCTATCGAAAGGTAGAGAGAGAGAGAGAGAGAGAGAGAGAGAGTCACTTAAGTTCAGTCCAAAGGCGATGTGCCAGCAAGGTTTGATGTTCGTGGGAGGAGTTGGAGTCGAGCGTCTATTGAAGAAGCGAAGAACTGCCCAAAAAAGTGAAGAATTTGGATGGAGTAGGCAGAGTAATGAGTTGAGGAACAGGAGCTTTCTAGGGTTTCTATAGAGTATTTGTTTGCAATAAACAAGTTCACATGCTAATCAGCAAGTATAAAGAATGCGCGAGCGGATTAGCAACCAACCCTGCCCTGTTCCACAAAAAAACTCGCAACTTGCTCGTTCCCCACCTGATCCCCGTTTTCTCAACCCGAGATGCGCAATTAGGGTGGGGATCTGAGGTTGTGCCCATCCCTACTCCGGTGATTGTTTATGATGAGATATTTCAATGCAAGCTAGATACCTTCTACCTCAACTTGGGGCAGGCAAGTTCCGTAGCACAAGTCAACTCTTAGACAATTATAAAATCACTCTTGTAAACCATAGAGTAAACCAAATTATTCTTTCTCAAGATCATTTTAAAATGTGGAAACTCCACCAAGTTTTTATCGTATGCTTTGATGTCCCCATCTGGCACATTAGTGCTTTTGGAAATCCGCGTATTACACTATGAAGTTCAAGATTCGATGAGCAATGTATGTTTATGTTCAATAATGTACCTAATGTTCAGGAGTTTGTATTTTGTTTGGGTAAATTCTATGAGCAGGAAAAGAAAGACTGCCCAGAAATCCTCACATACGCTTGCATGGCATCCTCTAAGGTTTGTGCATTTTCAAATTGAGGTTCAAGTCTTTTCCCCGAAAGACTATGCCTTAAATAGGCATAAAACAAACTCAACCTTTCAACTATGGTTTCATTTATAATAAGAAAGTTTAGATTATTGAATCTTGATAACTTAACTAAGGTTTAAATATATGGATCGATCTTGCCAGATGCTCAACATCCGTGATTATGTTATCTTGAATATAGGATTCCATGTCACCTGTAGAGCTTACTCAAATTGGAAGCACATAACTTACACGCGCTCTAGAAGGTTGCGTAGGGTCTTAGTAAAGGGTTAAGGATTCACCCGGAGTGTCAGCCTAGCAAAGTGCTTTTGCCGTTGCGTTTACCTTGTCGAGGTAAGGAACCATGCTCCACCATTAAATACATTGGCTCTTGCAGGGCAAATGGTCTTTGTGGATCTTGTCTATGCAGATAGTTACCTTATGGGTATGACTAAGGTTAACTTAGCTATTGACTTCAATTATTTGTCATTTCTGAAGTCAGGTATAGGTTCTTTATTATTTCTCTTATTAGGATGCCCATACATGGAATGAACATACTGTATTTTGCCTTTACGATATTTTGATTTTCAGTCCTTTTAGTTCCATTTGTGCTACAAAACGATGCTTAAGAAAGCTCTGATAATTCTCTTAAATAAGTCAATCGGCTCAGCCACAACTTAAGACATTAGTTAGTTAACATTTGAAACATATGCAATGTTCAAATGTAAAGCTTGACCTGGCCTGGTGGTTGACATACTTATTTGAAGCATCTAGTCGCACTTTTGAGGATCCTTGGAAGTCACAAAGGTGTATCTTCTACTCTTCTTTTTTCCAAAAGAATTATACAACGGACAATTCCATGGTCCGATGCATCTGAATAACTCCCACCAATTGAAAGGGTGATCATGAGGCTTTCATGCCTTGCTTTTTTTTTTTTTTTTCATGCCTTGCTTGCTTTTACTGTTTTAGTCCTGTTTTCAAATTTCAACCGACGTTAGTTGTTAACAGATCGATGCTTGGTGTCCATTGTTGTTTGAGATTGATTATAGAGTGAAGCGAAATGGCTGGGAGAACCTGCATAGGTATCAATATACTGGAGGTTACGGTCCTCAAGGATACTACGTGGAAAGTTGAGGGTTGGCTACTTTCCTGAGAACATCTTGGAGTCAGCTAGTTAGACTCACATTGCATGCTTTGTCCAATCTCCTTGTGCATCTCCCTGCTAAAGATAAACACTTTGTGGAGCCCCTGATTCGTTCTTCTGTTGCTTTAATAGAATAGGGTTAACATTAGCATTTAACATATACTTAATATGCTGGTAGCGTACTCTCTGAAGCCTTAACGGGCCATCTCCTGAGGGTTCATTATGCTTATTAGCTTTTTATTTTCTCGTTGCTTTTAGCGCTTCAGTTTTTTTCATTAAGCTATTTCAACTTGATATCTTCTAGAAAGCCACGTAAAAATGACCAGGAGGTCTTAACACCATTTCTTCTCATTTCTGTTTTCTTTTTTCAGTATGAAGATATAATGGTTGGTGTATGTGGTGGTCTTAACTTGTTTTAACTTTGATATTGAAAAGTTGTGCCAACAATGGCCCTGGGTGATGTCGAGGATGCTGTGAAGTAGACCTTTCAGTGACTGGTTTTAATCCATTCAAGGTGTTTCTAGTGTATTACTTCCCTCTTTCAAGTATGTAGATAAATTAGGATAAAGAGATCAGCTTATATAGTATATTTCTGTGAGAGGTCCTGAGATATAGCAGTGCATACCTATCATTTATACTTCTTTGCTGGCAATCAGCATGAGCATGTTCCCCTATTTGTCCCTGTTATGCTCTCTTCTCCTCTCTTCCTGAACGTGGACACTTGCATGAGAAATCATATGTCACTTTCTTCCGACCAATATATATTTGTTGAGCAAGGTTCCAATCACTTGAATTACAGTGGTTGGTATCCCTTAGTGTTTGACTGGTACATTGGCGATTGAAAGAACACTATTAGAAGCAGAACATGAGCTGTCGAATAATATGCCCATTATATTTTTCAGGTGAGCAACTATTGCGCAGATCACCTGCATGACCTTTTAGCACAAGAATGGAAAGAAGCTGTAGATGAAGATGGTTGGAAGCATAGGTGGGAGACAGCAATTTTAAGGGCTTATGAGAGGGCTGATGATGCTTTCAAAGATGGCCCAGATACTCCTGGTTCAACAGCTGTCGTCGTTGTTTTATCTGCTTGCCAGATCATTGTTGGCAACTGTGGGGATTCCAGGGCTGTGCTGTGTCGCGGGGATGAAGCTATTCCTTTGACCGTTGACCACAAGGTCCTTGGTGACTGCCTAATTTTGATTCTCAATTTTCATCTCCCCTTTTACATTTGATTGTTGCTGGTACATGTCATAAAATCTTGCTACTGGTCATTCATTGTAATTTGCATGCAACAATATATGTTTTTGGTTCCTACTCATGCATTCATGTAGCGAGACTTTTAAGTAGTCTTTATGCACTTGCAGAATGGAACTTTATCATAGTTGGTCACATGTAGAGTGATATGTTAATGGATCTGTGTCATTCATGAACTTTCATCTCAGTTCCAAATAGTCACTTTGGAGTCTGTTTTATAGACATGGACTCATTAAAAAGGTCTAAATGTGGTCTAAAATTTGTTCCGTAGCATTAATAAATAGTGCAATGCAAGTTTTTGGGCAAATATACTGACCAACTATATTATGGAGTAAGTTCTCTTTGCTAACCTGTGGGGTTGCTGTGCGTTCACTGTGGTTTCAGCCGACATTAGTTGGTTAACATTTCGTGAACTCGGTTTTTGAGGTCTTGGAATCATAGGGACCTAGAGAAATATAATAGGTTTGTTTTAACGTGAAATTGACACTTGAACTTAGATTCCCCAAGAAGAGATTGCATTTGTTGGTCTGAAGATGTGATAGAAGGAGTTGATAGGTAGTCATAAGTTTGCCTCTTCTTTTTCAAGCCTTTATCCCCTAAATTAGCCGCCGCCAAGTAAAACCTTAAAGTGCACCAAGTGATGACAAGTAAGAACGATCCGATAACCAGAAAGGTGAATGGAGGAGCAGGGAAAGTCCATGGTTAGACCGGTGAGCCTGCACATTCTTCACTGAAATAGTTGGCTAAATCAGAAGAAAGCATTCTAGTATAATTTATTTTGGGTTGGCTTGAAGAAGATGGAAAATCTAGGTAAACTGAGGATGAAGGTGTAGGGTATCTGGATGGAGTTCGCATATTCTCTGGTTTATTTTTAATTTAATGATTGTTTATGGGTGGTCAATAGTAAAAACCATGGGTAGAATGGTGCGACTTTTGCAGTGCTAATTGGCAAGTCAAACAAAATCCAATATTATGATTGCCTTTTCCTAAACTTGCCTGATATTTTTATTTTCCTCCTCAACTACTTGTCTGTGGCTCCTCTTCTTTCTCTGTTTGTCTCTTTTCGCTCCTATGTTTTCTTGAGCTTCTCTTCCTCTTCTTCAAGCATTTTTCATTATTCGGTTTGGGCAGAAGCTGTTGTCACAATGGAGGAACGAGAGGTTGGTATATGAATCAAGTACCTGGTGCATTGCCTCTCTGAGTATAGAAGAGAAAGGCTTTGTGTAAAAAGTATTGATCCATGTGCCCTTGATAGTTTTACATTTTGCCCTACTCCTATTACATTGGTTTTGGTCTTCATTGTAGAACATAGCCTACATAAGTTATGGCTGGACATTGTAGCAATAGTTCGTGAAACCTAAGCATGGAGATTTTGCAGTTTGACGTTAGGCGAGGTTTTTCTTGTATTTTTGTAGAATTATAAGCCATGTATTAGTTCATTAGCACAGGTGTTACTGCTTGGTCTTAGTTTTCTCCTTGGGAAATCTCTATTTGTCTGTAGTTGGACAATCGTTAGTGCAGGCATACTCCTATCTCATGTTACACATTCCGAGAATTGTCCCCTGTCGATATTCCTTATGAGCCACATTTTGCGGTAAATAATGCCATCTAAAATTCAATGGGAAGAGTGGAGGAATAACTTAGACATCATTACTTTAACAGAAAGGAGAAGGTAATTTGAGAAAGCTTGAGTTGTTCACCATTTATGCCAATACATTTTCAATTGCTGTTGCTTTTATGTATGTATTCCTGACTCAGCTAATCTGTGCATCTCTCTATTCAGTAAGCCGCTATTTCATTTTTGTGAACTCGTTGACCAGTTTTCTCTACATTTACTAGACTACTCATTTCAGTGCTCCCTGGATGGATTTGTTAGAATCATCGGTTCACTTGGTATAGATTTTGCTCTATTTGTGTTTGCAGCCTAATAGGGAAGATGAGGTGAAGAGGATCACCAATGCAGGAGGCAAAGTTCTGTACACTGACTGTGAGAGAGTAGAGGGAGTTCTTTCTATGACAAGAGCAATCGGTAGGTGCATCTCTCATAGCGTCTGTTTATCATTTCCAGACTATCAGCTGGAGAAATTTATATGTTGACCTGTATCGTCGATTTATTTTCTTCGTTTTTTAATATGTCTGGTCATCCAAGTGATGTGGCTGAAGCATATGTGGTAATTAATTTGGAGGCCGGAGTTTGTTTTGATCTTCTTACCTTATCTGGAAGTCTGTTCAGACTCTAATATATTTTATTTCGATATAGTGAGTTGTCTGTGCAAATCCCAAAAGGGGATTCTTTTTGGGTCAGCAGAAAATCATCGAGATGTTATCTTCTCCCTCCTGCCCACCACACCCCCCAAAAAAAAAAAATAGAGATAGAGAGAGAAAGAGAGAAATAACATAGTGGTCTGTCAAGTAACCTTCCCTTTGCAACAGGAAACATATGAAGCAAGCTAATTCATATCAAAGGATGAATGGTCGGTGCAGGCATTATTATTATCCTCTTTTTACTTAAGAGATATTTTCTGACAACTTTTTAATTTAATGCCTCTCTGATGAGATATGGATTGTCGGTGCCATCGCCACCCCAAGCAGCTGAGCTTGTCTGAGTTTGTAGAAGCATTAAAAATGTGGTGGAGTCATTTGGAGCTAGCTTTCCCCAGCCATCTAGTACATCTCCAATTATTCGGAACTTAATTTGAAACAAAGTTCCTAGGATGTCCTAATAACTTACGAAATAGGAAGTGTTTATCCTCGTGTGGATCCTATTTCAGTAGGAAATTGATGAGTGGATCCACAGATACGTCTTGCTTTTACTGCTACATTGGGAGTTACTTCATGGATTGCTTGACATAAAACGGATAATATCCCCCTAAAGTTTGAAGATGGATTTTCTTTATAGTGAACCTCTTGAAAATTTTCAATGAGGTATTTAGAGCTTAATTGGAAAATGCCTATTATTTTTCTTATAATCATTTTTATTTTCCACTTATCCAATTGATCTACGAGTAATACTGTACTTTATCATTACACTGAGCATATCTACTTGACACGTGAAATTTTTTAGGTGATCACTTTCTGAAACCCTGGGTAATCTCAGTACCTGAGGTTACTTTCATGGCTCGATCTGAGGAGGATGAATTTCTTATTATGGCAAGCGATGGCCTGTGGGATGTCATGACTAGTGAGGAGGCAGTTAAATTTGCAAGTCTGGTGCACAGCAGGCTGCAAAAGTGGGCAACGATGGGTTATGATGGTCCTGCAAAGATCATTGCTAAAGGTCTTCTTGCAAGTGCTATTAAGAAAGGGAGTTGCGACAACATTTCTGTTATTTTTATCGACCTCAGTATGCCCAGGAGAAGGAAGAAGCCACACAAAGAACCAGAAGCAAGTCAAGCTTGAGTAAAATAAGAATCACATGCTCCTCAGATGCTTTGTTTAATAACAATAGAACTATTATCTTTACAAGCTGTTGCTGCAGAAACATGTGGTTCCTTTTATGTCCTAGTTAATAATGCAGTGCTAACTGACCGAGGAGCTTGCTTGTTAAACATGAAGACAATTCCATTTATGTTTTGTTGGATGCATTTCTCGAATTCCTTTAGGTCTCCTCCGCCCTCTTTGAAACCCGGGGTCTAGGGTTCTGCCCACCGTTTCCGTGTTTCTGTAGAAAGATTTATCCGGCCAGAGCTTATTGAGGAAAGGTGGATTCCCTCCAAAGAGGAGCATGATGAGCAATATAGCTGCTAAAACTGCTGCTTATCTTGACAAAGCATTCCCAAATTCCTTTTTCAATTCCATGTTATGTGGTTGCGGCCTTCAAAGTTAATTCATTTGAGAGCAACCCAAGACTTGTGCTTGATGTTTTGCTTTTGTACGTGATTAATTTTGCTCAGGGAAGCGTATATAATACATCAGGATTCGTTCAAGAGTGTACTAGTCAGCAGTCGCTACTCAAGAAGCATTATGCTCTCTCTCCCTCTACAAGCATGGATCTTTTACTCTTTAGGCACGCAGAGAACCTCGAGAATGAGTTAGCTCATGAACAGATTTTTGGCCATGTAAATATTTCTGCTGGAAAACAAGAGGCTTTCAAAGCTTGGTGTAGCCTTTTAGAAATTGTGATGTGGGGACAATAAATTTCAGATTGCTATATTACTCACAAAATTAGGTCTCTACTTTTGCGTTCGTAGGAAATGGAAAATTCCAAAAGGGTGGTGTCCCCAAAAAGATACTGCTATGAACCTCAGAACTATTAAAGCACATTTCGCACGCAATTTCTCAACTCTGGGGATCCTTTTTAGATTCTCGGTGTTCGGTTAAAAGTCAATTTCACCAAAGAAAAGGAGTTTCACCTCCTACAAGGGCACCTGTAGCCAATCCCCTCCCTATGGAATAGCCTCTACAAATGCGTTCTTTATTTTTAATGTACCGGTGACCATACAGCTCGTATCTCCAATTTTCTACTTATCTTTGTCTTCTCCAGGGAGAGGAAATATCTGTTGAAAATTTTATACCCTGGTAATCCCGAGATGCAAATGATAATCGAAATTGAGTCTTTTAAAGACTTGCTTAGATCCGATTCGTAAGAGATGAAAAATTTCAAAAGGGTGGCGTTCCCAAAAAGATATTGCTATGAATGTCAGACCTATAGTAGCAAATTTCGTACACAATTCCTCACCCCGCACATGGTTCAACAAGAACACTGACCTCTTCTTCCTCGAGAAGGGAGATGGTCCTGAAGACACAAGGAAGGGAAGAAAGTTAAAACCTCTGAATTCTACTTTAACTTGGGAAATTACACTGACGCTTCACTTTGCCTTTCTCATTTTTTCTTTTGTTTTTCCCTCCTCAAGTTCATTTCGCGGAACTTCACTCCTAGGCCTTTTTCAGTCTGCGTCAGCTCATCCTAAATCCACACAGTCAATGGGGTTTCAGCATAAATACAGCTATAACTAAACACATGACTCGTAACTCCTTAAATGAATGGGTTATTTATAACAGTTCAAGGAAATCGTTGGGTGTCAAGTTCAACGTCAGCCTTGCTTGTTCCATGTCAATCCTTCACGAAACTGAAGTTTTTTTCTCCCTTTTTTTGGTTTACCTCGGGCCCAAGTTCTCTATTGCTAACTAACTACAGCGGCTATTTATGTTCACATTACTCTTTTATGGTAGAGATGTATGTGCTGCGAGGATCTTGTCTTTATCCCCCATATGGATAAAACTTTAGCAGAGCAAGCAAAAAAGCTGCTCATAGTGGGGAGTGGATGCAAAATTCTTTGCAATTATGTGTACCAACCATTGGATGCTTGCATACAGGATGAGCACAATTGATGCTGCAAAGAGGGGAATATCTACAAAAAAACGACAAACAAGAAAGCAACCTTAAATAATTTCACTTCTGCATCAATGCCCACAGGTTTGTTTGGATTGTTACAATTATTTATTCGCATGTTGAGCACATTCCTGGTGAAAGGAGAGGAGCAAAAGTGGCGATCTTTTTTCGAGAAGGTCCATAAGCAGCTAGTAACAGCATATCACCAGCTCTTTTAATTATGTAACCCCAGCCTTCTTTTCCCTAGAAGTATGTGACACGTGAAAGCCCATTTCACTTTCTTGTCAAAGAATCTCCTACCTAGTCTTTCTTCTTTTATGAAGGAAAAATATCATTCTGGGTTAGAAACCATTCTATGTTTTAATTTGTGACTAAACTGTGCTAGAACTTGAGTAAATACACTAACTGTAGCCACCATCTCTTTGAAGTTGGCTATTACACCAGAGATCAGACTTCGCGCAACTCTTGAGAATATGGCAAGGAAAATTTGGTGGATTGTGTAAGTATTTTGTGCAAATACTTGTCCTTCCTTTCGGTTATAATTATTATCTAGGTTAAAAGTTGAAAACTTGACCTAGTACAGGGTTTCCAAATTATTTGATTGACCTTTTGTTCAATCTTCTCACCGAAGCCCCTTAATGGGAAATAGAAGCAAATTACAGTTGTAGGCTCGATAAAATTATGCAAGATTCAAAGCAGAGTGAATGGGGTCACCAAGAATCAGAACCAAATGGTTTTTGTCGATAACGATTTGTGTTTATGTGCCCTGAAACACATCGTCTCCTCTATAAACCTTTCGATCCCCATTTGTAACACCCCTAGCCAATGGTGTTGGTGTGTTTTGCTTCATGCTGGGAAAAAGTGGTGCAGGCTGAAACCCAATGTCACCTGGTGCTGCACCAAAAAAAGGTGTATATCATTTGTAATTGCTGAGATTTACAGCATAAACGACCACCACGAACGTCAGCATGATTCTTGCTTAATACAGAAAAAAGGCGCAAAAGATCTCCTGCAACTCGGAGTCCCTGGAAATCTAATGTGCAGGTTGTAGCTTTTGGCTTAAAGGAGCAAGAGATGTGCTTTGCATAATGTCAGTTTCAGAATGAACTGAAAAAGCCGGAGGTTCGATTCTTGAGCAAAGAATTTGGACAGATTTGATCATATGATATTTGGCTTATTGAAGCTGTTGCAGCTGACCTCGCTTGATCATGGTGAGGGTTGCTGGACCTTGCGCTTAGCCCATCAACTGCCCCCTTCTCTCCCTTCCCCTCCTCCCCTAGGGTTTTTGCTGTTTGGTTCTTTTCATCACATCAATGATGATGTGGCAGTCATGTCGGTGTTTTATACATGTTTTAAATCAATAATCAGTATGAACAATAAAAAAAATATTCATATTTCAGGGACATGATTAGCCAAAAAGTTCCAATCGGCTTGATTATTATTCAGCAAAAGATCAAGTACTAATGTTGTCTTTATTCCGATTCGATCGATGATAAGGACTGAAGACATGATGAGAGATATATTGAATACTTTGCAGCTTCATGACTCATAAGACCCAATTACAAATCTGAGATGAACAAAATTCTGCGGATAATGAAGCAGCCTCTTCTTCTTGAGCAAAGGTCAAGGATAAACAGGACCCAATTACTTTGAAATGATTGCGAAAAAGACTATATATAATTTGCAATGATTGTGAGCTGATGCAATTTCAGCACATCAATGCAGTAGCCCCTGTTCCAAGCCAAACAGAGATGATCGGCTCTCCAGGTTGGGATTCTTATCAACATAGGAGACAGTGATGGGAGGGAGGGGGGAGAGGGGAAAGAATGACAATCTGTGCGCCACAAGAAAACACAGGAGGAGAGAAAAAACATATTCTGATCCCACTCACACACACACATTCTCAGCCCCTTTAACTCTCCTTTTTAACAAAGCTAACAGATGTGACCACGCACTCACCAGAGAGAGGGAGAGCTGCAAAATTCACCATTACTAGAGACTCCTCTCACTCTCTTCAGTGTGCCAGAGGAATAAAGGAAGATTCTCTTCCTGGACACATCTGTTTCCTTTGTCTAGAATCTATGCAGAGATGGCAGTTAAGGGGAAGTTTAGGGAGAATGGGACAGAGACAGACTTAGACATGACAAGGATCACTGACCTCAGCTGGTTGTGCTCAATCATTGGTGGGATTTTGTTTTCCTTCCCATCTAAGTGATATTGTCCTCTTTTGGCCACTTGATGATTCTCCAACATTGCAGTTGTTCTCCACAAGCAAGAATGGCCGTAGGTTATTGTTTTCCTTGACATGAAAAGTGCGAGCTCTGTTCTTCTGAAGTTGTGTAAACTGTGGGATCAAAAGTCTGATTCTGCAAAAAGCACACAATTATACTCAAGCAGCGATTTTGAGCTGCAAATCCAATAGTAACCAGCTTAGTGGCAGGTGGGGTTGTGCTTCCATCTTGAACGCATCACATCTTTATTCTATTTGAACCACACGGTGATTAAAGGAAGCAAAAACCCTTTTTTTCCGTTCTAAAATTAGCCGTCGGTAGGAACGTGAACATCATTTCAAATCAATCGCGTACAACCCATTTCTTAGGTGGATGATTCCTCCATAAATAATTCACAACCAATGCCGTCGGGCATTCGGCACGAGAGGAAATTTTTATAATGTGAAAAGAACAGAACGGGGAGAGAAGCTCTCTCTCAAACGGGGTAGTACTTCACACTAAGGTTTGTAATTGTATTACCGGCGTATAGAAACCAAAGTTGCGAAGAAAACGAAAGCGAATGGACGAGAGAAGGCACGTGCAAAGCCAAGATCAACATCGAGTCGTCAATGAGCGAATGATGTGGGCGGAGAGAAAAACAGAAAGGAGTTGACTTTGGGCTACTGGGAGTGTGAGAGCTTGAGGTCTGCAATTGCAGAACAATGGCAAGATCAGGACATGTCAATCTCCTTGCTCAGATGTAAGACTCAATTTCACATCGGTGGGGGATGGGCTGTCGGGAAAGGAAGGTCACAGTCAGTGCAGGACTAGTTACAACATTCCGTGGGCATTGGCTAAGGAATTGTATTCTTCATTCTTTTGTTTCTTTCTATGCTGCTAAAGATCGAGCATCCCTTGTACTTTTGTTCTCATTTCTATTTGAGAATAAAGACACGTAAAAGAAAACCGCATCGGGTGTATACTAAAACCGGAAAACATCGGTCCTCGGTGTTTCCATTTCCTTCAGGAATACGGAGCTCTTCTTTTGAGGCTTTACCTTGTTAAAAATGTCGACCAAGCTAGGCCGAAGTCGATCGTCTCCGGCAGGGCATCATATAGTCGACCGTCATCCGCTCGTCGGGGCTCGCCGACATCGATGGAAGACGGGGCGAAACGGAGTGTGAATAGTGGTGCTGGAGAGGGGGGTCTTTTGAAGAAAACGGGGAGGGAAAGGGGGTAGAAATGAAAGAAGACCAAATCGCTCGTACATCAATTCCATCCGGATCAAATACTTCTCACTTCCATTAACAATATCTGAACTACTTCTCACTTCCATTAACAATATCTGAACTATCACATCATGATTTTTATCATTTTTAAGTGTAAAGTAAATCGTTTTCATTGGTCTCATTGGAGGGAAAAGCTCAACTTGGAGTGCTTTTCGCTAAAAGAAGGGAACAATTATTTATATTATTGGCATAAACTTTTGGTACACAGCCCCATCCATCATCTTTGATTTGGATAACTAACCCGATCAACGACGATAATAATGGGTTCCGTAAAATGAAAGAGTTAAAGTCGTATACTTTTTGACAATGAAAAGAGTGAAATATGACCGTTATAACCTAGTCATTTATCTTTCACATGGTTAATACCACAAAAAGTCGTGACAATCGGTATGTCCATGCCACATTTATCATAAATCATTTTTCATGTCGCAAAAAATTCAAAACCGGCATACCCGTGTCACATTTATTCCAAACTAAATTTTGCGTTGCAAAAAATCTCGAACCATTGCACCTGTGCCATATTGATTCCAAAATGATTTTTGTATCACAGAATCTACTAAAATTCCTAATTTTCCTTCAAGATTTTGGTAGATGTGCGGCATAGGTACCAAATTTTGGTGGCTTTAACCCTCTTTCATGCTAGGGATTATTAAAACCATCCCCTCTTTTCACTGTCTCTATCACAAAAAAAACTAAAACAAAACAACAACAAAAATGTTCCTTTCCTCAGTACAGAGAATGGAGGAAAGCTTGAAAAAAGAAAATTGCATGTCCCCTAGCTCAGGCTGCCAACTCACATTAGAGAGCATCCTTTGCAAGTTGACGATGGAAGTGTTTCATTATTGTACTCACATCCCTCTCTTTTTTTCCTTTCTTTCTTTTGCAACTAGAAGATAGATATTTTCAGGGACACGTGGAATTCTGTCTTGTTCACTGAATGAATCATAGAGCCACCAATTCGACCGATGAGGAAAAAAGAAGTTGCTTCCCTTGAAAGGATGGAGTGTTAATTGCTTCATATGGTTAAAAGATCATCATGAAGTATATCATATGTTATATGATGCAGTTCTCTCTTCTTTGCTAATCTGATGCAGTAGCACTTTGGTGATTTGATCTGCTACCACTTAATTCATATGTTACAAGCCACCCGAATAGCATATGCCAAATTGATAGGGGGCATAGGAATATTTGCATAGTATCTTAAAGTATTTGATTAATCTCCCTCTCTTCTTTTCTCCTTTGCTTCAAAATGGTAATAGGAGTCCTGCAATACATCTTGTGCAAGCTTTTGCAAGAACACCCAAGAAAATCTTTCAGCCCACAAATATGGACCTTAATAATGCACCATGTGAAACGGCAGGTGCAACTCCAATCCTTATAAACAAGAGTTATTCTCGAGACTTTTCTCATGTTCTCCCCCTTTACAATGTTTTCCTGTCACTCGTCCTCTCGCAAGACGAAAACACGTATGATAAGCAAAAGCAAGTTGATGTGATATTTTATATTTGCAGACAGAATCAGAAAGCCCTCCATTACATGTCCTTTGCTGGGATACCCAAATTCTATGCTTTTTCTCCTTCACAGTGACATGTCCCCATTCATTAGCTCTCTCTCCCTCTCTCTCCTTCACAGGGACATGTCCATTGCTTGGATTCCCAAATTCTTTACTATAAAAACCTTCATAAACCTCACAGCATTGCATGGTCAATCAAGCCTCTACTGAACACACTAGCTTGCACGTACAACTGTAGTCACACCATTGCATACCATCCTTCTCTCCATCTCCTGTTAGCTTTTACCCAAAAACTTAGACACCTCCTTCTCTTGCACTTCCTGAAGTTCTCTCGCCGATGGAGAGGAATAATCACCTGCCCCGACAAGTTGCTCTAATGAGGCAATCCCTTTTTGATCAGGTTCATTAGATTCATTGTCTCGTTAAACAATGAAGGTGTTGGATTTCAAATAGATCTCCTCATAATAATCGTCTCTTTCCTTTATTCTTGCATGTAATAGCCTTTTACCAATGACAAGTGAAAAGAAAATTGCAAAAAGGGTGGATTGGTTTTTGTTGTTCATTGTTGAGGATACAACTCTCGCTTGCATATCAACAAATAAGACTCTTCATCAGTCCCTTCTACTTGGAAGCAAAAAAACACTTTGCACTCCTTTTTGTTTTACTTGCCTTTAAACATGTAGATGGGGAATCAATGCATATCACGGTTCTTCAAAAACTCGGTGCAGTTAGAGTTCTTTAGGTATACAGAAACTAAACGCATACTTTGCAATCACAACACAGGGATATCTTGACGAACAATTTGTTCAGTTGGAGGAGCTGCAAGACGATGCCAACCCTAATTTTGTTGAGGAAGTCGTGACATTGTATTACCGTGATTCAGCTCGACTAGTCGCCAGCATTGAGCAAGCATTGTGAGTGACAAGCCAACTTTTTCTCCTTTTGGTTTCTTCTTTTAGTTATTTTGCCTTTGTAGCTAGGTGTATGCCTTACATCCCCAAATTAGTTATTCCATTTTGGCCTTACTTCATTCAGGGACAAGAGCCCTCTTGATTTCAACAAGTTGGATAGCTACATGCATCAGTTCAAAGGAAGCAGCTCAAGGTATATACATACATACAACATACTGACTTTGTATAGCTACTGATTTTTCAATCTTTAAGCAAAAGTTCCATGAGAAAAGCAATAAAAGCATATTATGTAGGAAAGGAATCGTAAGGTATATTCACAGCTTTCTAATTCTTCTTTTTCTTGTCTATTTATTGTGATTCGTTACAGCATTGGAGGCAGAAAAGTCAAAGCTGAGTGCTCGCAGTTTAGGGAATATTGCAGGACAGGAAATGGAGAAGGGTAACCCACAATTCCATGAACACCTCTCGAACTTCTTGAATTTTGCTTCATAGGGTGTTTGCTTACGTTCCGAGACATTTCGTTAAATAGACACACACGGTCACCTATCACGAAACGATATATATGTACTATCGAAACCGTATAAAGTAGCGATACTCTATAAACACCGATATTTGCATACATACTAATGTTATCCCATTAATAGGTTTCTTTAATGATTTGTCAAGAGATTGTGGTTTTAACTCATTACCCAAAAAAAATCAGATGCATTAGGACTTTCCAGCAAGTGAAGAGGGAATATGCAACGTTGAGGAAGAAACTCGAGGCCTACTTTCAGGTGCTTTAACTGGTCTAATTTCATTTAATTTGTCGTTTCATCTACGAGATAAACCATTTTTTTCAATTTAAAATTTCCTTAAAATGCATGACTTTTTGCATTTTATTCCACAGTTGGCAAGACAAGCAGGGCCCAGAGAGGCAGCTTCTCGCTCCACATAGAAAAAACAGAGAATCTGCTAAATAATGGCTTTTGCTACGGACTTAGCTTTAGAAGAATAATCTGCCGAAAATAGTAAGCAACGGCTCGTGAAGGCTGCAACGTATGAGCGCGAGCGAGCGAGCGAGTGGTGAGCTGGTGTCTGCTTGCACCAGAAAACTCAGAAGAAGATCTTACTAGGGTTTCTATGCTTTTCAAAATTCACAGAAGTGACTTTGTAATCTTAAGTTGAGTGGCTTGTAATATATATATGAGAAAAAGATATTAGCTCTTTCTTGACTATATGATCACCCATCCAATAAGTTTTCCTCAATGTGTGATTCAATTAACCCACGGGATGAATACGCGCGACCACAAACAAGTCGAGCTTTCTTGCAACTAAAATGGCGAAGTCGAGAAACTGCAACTCTGTCCCCTCTTGGGGGCACACTTATTGTCCAGTATGTGGCTAAACAATATTGTCAATTGAATCTAGAGATATCCATTCTTAAATCAGAGTTTCAGGATAATTGAGGAACTTGTATGGAAAAAATTATCAGTTGACGCTCTAATGAAGAGAATCCAAGCTGGTAGGTTATCATCTTTGTAACGTCCTTATCTTATCTCGGGGTTATTAATTTGACATTACAAGCTTGTCGCCGTCCCATTTCTTTTTTTTCGTATTAATAAGCACATGCGAAAACGTGTATAAACAAATTCCCAAACATAATAACAACTGGAAATTAGGGAAAGCATAACAGGCAAAACACATTATTGCCATTTTACTTAGACATATTTTACAAGCCCTTTTTTCCACGGGCCGTTCCACGTGCAAATTATTTCACAAGCGAAGGCCAAGGTTAATCCTAGCTCCTCTATGTCATCCTCCATCTTACGGACCTGAAAAGGAAAAAACAACGGGGGATGAGTCGGGGAGACTCAATGAGTAAATTCACTAATACTCGTGCAGAATGATGCCTCGCCATTGTACTAACACATACAAATATTTTCCCCACCTTATGTCGATGGCAAATCAATAGCAAAGACTTTGACCTTGCCCTTGCTATGTTCACATGGAAACTCACCTTTAGCCGGTCACATAAATTCGGCTTATCAATAAACACACATACCGGCACATATATAGAATTCATTTATTACATACGGCACACATATAAGATTCATTTATCGTCATCCTGGCTCAACCGGAGCATCCCAACTCAACCGAGGCATCCAACTTCATGCTAGGCATTTGGGCTCAACCGAGACATCCCGGCTCAACTAAGGCATCCTAGCTCAACTAGGGCATCCCAGCACTAGTTTACCGAGGCATCCGAGCTCAACCCAAGCATCCTAGCTCAACTAGGGCATCCCGGCGTTAGTTTACCGAGGCATCGCCGCCAATGCTATGTGACAACTGTCACGCCCCGTACCCCACGAAGCGCGATCATCTCACCTAAGGTCGTAATGGTGCGACGTCCCCAGGTTACGTCACCGACCCAGCATCCAACGCACAGAGACCAATGCACATGCGGAAAGCAACGTATATATATATTATATATACACCCGTACAATAAACAAGACAACCAAGGATAGCACAGCACTGGAATTTAGCAGGAGTAAAAACATTTTACATTATTGCAGAAATTTATACAATATCCATTACAAGAAAAGCAACTAGAAGACAAACTGAGCAACGGCCATTGAACAAAAAGGATGGTGGCCCGGGGATACTAAACTAAGGCGGGGCTTGGTCAAAAATGGTGCGACGTGCATAGACATAGTCTTCTCGATGAACTGGGGAATCCCAAAACGGATTGGCGCATCTGCCATCCTCACTGCCGGGGATTTGAAAAGTCGGTTTCCAACAACCGTGAGATGAATCTCAGCAAGTAAATAACCCATAAACCTAAACTAGGCTAACATGCACCTCCTGACAGGCGAATGAAACACGCATAATAGTACAACATGAACATCACAATAATTGACCTAGGCTCGTGGCCCAGATCATTCATACTACGACCCTGCAGGTTAGACATTTTCTAACAATATTCACGTGCAATTCACCGAATATGCACACGGCTAACATACTCGGCACACAATTGCTATTTTCATGAATAAAATAATTATTCCGACCCGAAGGCCAACAGGTATATCGACCCGAAGGCCACGACCCGAAGGTCAACAAATATATCGACCCGAAGGCCACACCCGAAGGCCAACAAATATATCGACCCGAAGGCCACGACCCGAAGGCCAACAAATATATAGACCCGAAGGCCACGACCCGAAGGTCAACAAATATATCGACCCGAAGGCCAACAAATATATCGACCCGAAGGCCAACAAATATTCACATCAGGTACGTGCACTTTCGCACTCACAATTCCAGCCATATCAAAGCACATTATGCGAAATCGCATATAATGGCATTCAAGTCAATTATAAACATACAATTCACTAACGCCAATATGTGCCCAAGTATAATTCGTCATAACTCGACCAATTCAATACATTGTTGGCACGCCCAATTCATTCCGTTTTAGCCCATTGAAACTTGGCATTCAATACATGATTTAAACCCGAGACCAATTTATATAATTCAAGTCCGCCATTAACCAATCAATTTCGGCTACTATACCAACAACAGGGACTCACACAATTTAACCCAAACAAGTCCCATTTAGCCATTGGATCACCCAAATTAAGCAACCACAACAAGAATCCAATTAATCCCAACTTAAACAATTTTAATCCAAATTCGGTTCTGGTGTGAACAGTATCAGAACAGCCCACATTTGGGCATTAAATCACATCTAAATCATCCTGCTAGGCTCCAATTAAACCCCACAATTATTCAATACACATTCATCTATGGATAGACCATAATCGCGTCTAATTAAACCCTAATTCACCCATTTAAAGTGCAAATTAAACTAATTTGGATTTAGGGATTTAATACTCGCCTAAACCGATTCGAGTCGACGAGAACGAGCGGACAATCGCCGGTGGACGGCAAGATCGGCGGCGGCGTTCCGACGGCGACAACTCACGGCGGCGTACGGACAGCGCGTACGGACGGCGACGTACGGACGACGTACGGATAGAGACGTACGGACGGCTGAGGCGTCACGGCGACAGTAGCTCGGCTGGACGGTGCTTCGGCGGTGGCTGGTCGGTCTTCACGGCAGCGATGGGAGGAAACGGTGATGAAGAAAATGAAAGGAAGAAAGGAGAAGGAGGAGGAAATGGCGTGGAAGGAATGAACGGGGGAGGAGAATGGCCGGAGGAGAGAGAGAAAGGGGTCAAAGTTGGGTCAAATATCCCTTAGTGGATTACACATGTCATCATCCTAGCCCCCTTGACCATTTTACCCTTGATCCAATGGTATTAATTCATCTCAATCCAATAATTTAGGGGCATAATGGTAATTTAATAAATCCTAACAATTATCCACTTAATAAATCCTCAATTATTGCCCAAAAATTGATCCAAAATTAGGAATGGGGAAATTAGGGCACATGGGCATTTTCGTAATTTTCCGGTCCCGAGTCGAAATTCCATTTTTCGACCGTACCGACCCCAAATATGGTTGGCCACTCAAAAATGATGTCGGCCTCGCAAAATAATCACTTACGCTCTCGAAAATTGGGAATAAAGTCTTGAGGGGCAAAAGGGTAATTTTTCGCTTCCGGGTCGAAATTCCATTTTTCGACCGTACACACTCCAAATATGCGTGGCCACCCTAAAATGGCATCGGCCTCGAAAATCGACGTCGGAGTCCAGAGGGGCAAAATCGTAATTTTTCCGATTTCGGCCGGAATTCCGATTTTTGACTGTACTAGCCCCAAATGTATGTGGCCACACCAAAATGACATCGGCCACGAAAAATAGTCGCGTACGACTTCAGAAACCAACGTCAAGGTTTGGAGGGGTAAAATCGTAATTTTTCACTTCCGGACCGAAATTCCATTTTTCGACCATACCCACTCTAAACATGCGTGGCCACTCTAAAATGACATTGGCCTTGCAAAATAGTCGTAAACGTCCACGAAATTTCGACATCGAAATTCTGGTCCAATTTCGCGATCAAATTCGCTCATTTTAAAATTTTAGGGCCTCTCACTAACGAGCGGCTGTTTAGGGGTTACGCGTATCGACCTAGGGTTGTCCGAGTCGTGATGGCCTCGATTTTCGGGAGGACGCGAGGAGTTATCACTAGTGCCGGAGGTCGCGATAGTTCGGATTCGTTCTCCACGTGTACTCTCGGTCGTGCGGAATCACCCGCGATCCGATCGTACGTCGTTGGCTAAATCGAATCCGTCACTTTCCTAAGATCTGCCCACATTGGCCCAAAATATTTCCTCGGCGATTCTCGAAATCGGTGCCCAATTCGCGATTGGATTCCCGGTCCACGTACCGTTTTTCCTATTCAGTCATTCCCATTGGGTTAGTATCCCATGAGTGATCAGCTCTGGACAAGACTTACTAAAATTAAATGAGAATTAATATACACTTTATTGGTCCCGGAAACAGGTCGAAATTCGGGATGTTACAACAACGGTCTTCTTCTTTTATTTAGTGATCACACATCACGGGTCACACAAGCCAATTTATTATCTTGATTTCATTAGTCCTGCAATTAAGCCCAAAGGCGTGCCGTGCTTGTGTAATCACGATCTCTAGAATATTCGCCTAACATGTGAGTCGCAGTCGAGGGCACGTGGTACGGTCCGCCATGCCGAGCGCCGGCTCGGAGCCAAACTTGGCCTAGATCCACACATCCCAATGTAAACCCGCACCAAGCTAAACTCGTCCAGTGACGCCACAACATGAGTACGAGACCATACGACACCCCGTTTCGTGACTCGTACGTCCCTTGACTTACGATTATGAAGCAAAACAAGAAGCATTCATACAAACATCGAGCATCACAGACATGGTCACTACTCGAGTCAAACTCGTAACACCACGTCCTATCCGCTTATAAATCAACAAACATGGATGAGAACATCAAGCATGGTAACAAGCGATACGTGCAACATCGAGACAAACAACAACACGCAAGTCTCAACAAAGGCTTGGGTGAGAACTCAAGCCAACAACACATCATAACTTCCTATCCAGAGATTAGGGAATCCACTTACATGCCGCGTTACAATCACGTAACACACCGCCCTATCCAAGTGTTAGGGAATTCACTCACATATAATCACAAGAAAACGTCTACGGCGGTCGGCGGTGGCAAATGGCAAGAGAGAGAGAAATGTTTGGCGTGAGGGTGAGAGATGAGAGAGAGGCGAGGAAGTGGTGTGTGGTAACTAAGGGGGGCAACTAAGCCTATTTATAGGCAAGCCAACTTGTTCCCCAAGCTTAATCATGAAGAAAAGACAAATGACATAATGAAATAGTCCCTAAAGTCAAGTGCCATCATGATTATGATCTAGAAAATCTTGATCATTAATGACATTAATGGAGGAGAGCCAAAATGAAATGATGAAACAATCTAGCAAATCTTAACAATTAATAGCTCTCTCTCTCTTCCCTCCTCTCTCTCGGCTCTCTCTCGGCTCCCCCTTCTTGGCTGACTTTCTCATTTGTTTTTAGCTCATTATTGGTGACAATGAGTCACCATGCTCCACTAATGAGGGTGGACAATTCAGCTATTAAGCAATTATGTAGAGGGACACCTAAACATGACTCAATAATGCTGGCTTCAACAAGAAGAATTGGCCCTCGACTTGGCCAATTTCATTTTCATATCTCCCTCCTTCGTGTAACCTCCAATCAAAGCTTATAGCTCATTTGAAAACTCAGAATGGGCACATTAAATCACCGGAAGACATCAAGTCAAGATTCCAATGTTCTCATATAGAAAATGATGAATATTTGAAATCTGATAAAACTGGTAGTTTTTGCACTGTTCTAGAAATCGGGCTTAAAAACATAATAAATGAACTCCGAAAATTCCCAAATTTGAATATGTCATAAAAAAGACCTTAATAAACATTTTCCATTGAGAACATAAACTCTGAATCTTTCTGTAAACACAGCTTTTAGTAGCTCAAGATAGACTAAAATCGGTTTGCCGGAACAGAATTTTTGCTTCTAAAAGTAAGCTCTTTTCATAATACAAATAATTTTCATAATACAAATCATATCCAAAAATTACCAAATTTATATATGTTATAGAGAAAGAAGTTCTCAACAAATTTTGTGAAGGAAGTTTATTCAAAATCGACCCAGAAAAGTTTGTAGAAAATCGAGAAAGTGTGAACATCACAGAAATACCCATTCTGGGCAATTTTACATGGTCTAAAATTAGGCTATCGTACTACTCATATCAAGTCCAAAAATTATGAGATTAAAGTATGTAAAACTTCAAGATGTTTGGAGAAACTTTTAAGAGGGAAGTGTTTAGAAATTCGGATCACAAAAGTCTCCTAAAAAATAACAAAACAAAAAGAGTACAGAGGATTCGAATCTGGGTTTTCCATAACAAGAGTAAAATTGGCTCTGATTAGAAAACCACCAAATTTAAATCGTAACCATTTCTCAGGGACTGAAATTGAGGATGTTACAATCTTACTCACAGACTCGAACACGAACGCCATGCAAAAAGAACATCAAAGAAGCAGCTTCGACGATTTGGATTTCCCATACGTATATAAGGAAATTCGTCAGCAACAACTGCATTAAACACGAGACGAAGTTAAATTGCCAGAAATAGAGGAACCCTAACTCGTTTGCCATATGAGGTAAGAGCAAGGTACATTACTAGAGCCTTACATTCTTAGGTTGAAACTATTCGAGATAGATTTTCTTGAACCTTCCATATATATAATCTCGGTTCACTGCATTTTATATCATGAACGTTGCAATTCGGTTCTATTGAAAGCTCAAAACAATATGAATCTGGTAAATAGAAACTCGGTACTCTTTGTTAACTCCATCAAACAAGCGATTCACAATTTTTTCGTTCCTCGAAATTAATCAGCATCTAGGTAGATGATGCAAGACACCTTCCTTACCACATCAACAATAACAACAGCTATAACTATTTAAAGGACACTTTTCAATCTTAAAAAGGTTGACTATATGAAAAATCGGTGTATAGACTCTTGATGGGCTTTTGACTTGGGCCTATTGGAGTCGGACCATCCTTTTTCTTTTGTCCCTTTCTTTTCTATTTTTCGCATTTCCGGAACCGCGGTGCAGGAAATTCCAGTGGGCCTTGTGCGGCCCGTTATGCCAAATTTCAAATTCCTGATAGGCCATTTGATGATTTCCATTGTGGCATGGGTAGCCCCTTCAAACAAAGTTTCATTGTCCTCTGCACTGTCCAAATTACCAAGCGTGTAGCAACCTTTAACCCCTTTTTCCTCTTTTTCTTTTCCTATTTTTACATTGTTACTACATTTTTTTACGAGCTTAAAATCGGCGCCGTTACGTTAGGAACAGCTACTGTTGCCACCCGATTGATTGAGTTTTTCGGGGATGGGTTTATGAAATGACTAAGGGCGTGTTTGTCTTGAGGAAAATTTCATGATAAAAGAAAATGCCTTCTGAGAAATAATTTCGCAGGAAAATGTTTTGCTCTTTTCGGGTTAGGGAATTTACTTTCCCAACTTTAAACAAGCATATTTTAGTTGACCGTAAATGGTTTTTCTCTGACCGATCATTTTCGCCAAATCAAATGCGTGAAGATTCAGAAAACTAATTCGCAAAAACATTCTGTCACTCAAATAAACACACCCTAAGGTGATAATGGCCGATGAATTTGTTGAAGCATTGCTTTTCTGAATTGCATATTTGAACCTCTCTTCTAGCTATGGTGAGACTTAAACCTGGCCTGCTGATGGGTAGGCCCACGAGTGGCCCAAAGTGACTTGCCTATCCTTCTCCTCTCCCCACACAGAGTTCAAGACTGATAGCTATGGGAAGTCACGAGCCGCAAAATCTCGGCCCCACGAGGCTCGCGCGAACCCAACGAGCTCTCATTTCTTCCACGACGGTGATCATAGAGACCACGCCTCGATATGGCAGCGATTCAATCCCTCCAGCACGTGATTCATACGGTCTTAAACAAGTGCCTCCGGTAGATTCATGTTTCTTGAAGATAAGAGTCGATGCAATGCCATTCTGTATGCCGCGCATTGTATTTTAATACTGCTCGTACATCTGCACGACCTCTAAATAACGCCATTCACGAGTGTTTCCCCTCGTCATGTATGAAGCTTTAGTATAGATTTAGACTTATCTCGCAATCATTAGCCCGCGATTACGAAACCACTTCACTATCGTGCACCTCTCAACATGTTTGATTCTCGTTACAAATATTTAGGTTATGCTCGACAGATACCGTCCTTACCGTGTTTCTCTGTTGCCTACAGTTATTTTTCCATTTTCTTTCTCTTCTTTTTCCTTTTCTATTTATAATCGAAATTCCGAAAACCAGTTGTACAAGAGAACAATGCTATTTAACGACAAGGATCTAGGCCTGGTCAATGAAACAATTCCCTTCAAGTAGCAGTAGTAGATCCCCCCCTCTTTGTCCCCACCCCCCAAAAAACAAAAGTTTTGGATAAAGAAATTGGGAAAGTGAAAGCTTACACGATTTGCCAAAATGAGAAGATATATAAAAATAAAAATAAAAAAAAAAACAAATAATAAAAAGAGAGAGAACAGTACATGCGAGCAAAATAGACACACACACAGCAGTCGCCGCTGCTCTCGAACATCTCCGGCATGTCCAAATTCGGGAGCCGGACCAAAATCTAAGCGCTCGTCTCTCTCCGCCGTTCATATAAATACAGAGCTGATGATGCTGATGATGATGCTGATGGTGGTGGTGGTGGTTCAGTGAGTTCAGTCGCTGACGAGAAGTTGGTCGTTGTCGTCAGTCGAGAGCTCGTCGCTCGTCGCTCTGCTCTGCTCCTTCCTCTCTGTGCACATGGCGTTCAACGTTTGATCTTCAACTGGCGTCGCGGATTGATTCGAGCGAGGGCTTCTTGGAGGGAGGAGGAACCGGATTCACCGATCCAATCGAGGCTTTTGGGAGTACTTGGGTCGAGGAACCTGGGCGTCCCGAGATGAGTTCTCGATTCGAGATTTTGGAGTTCGCCTCTCGGTGTTGAGCCTCTGGAATTCGAAGCTTGGATGAGGTAGGGTTTTGGTTGGAAGGCCGCCTTGCCTGAGTTTCGCGGCCTCCTCTCTTCTCTCGGTCGTCCGTCGGAGGCGGAATCGGTCTTGGTTGGGGTTTTTGGTTTCGGCCGCGGTTTTAGGGTTTAGGTGGGGAGAGGATAGCCGTTTGGGAAATCTGTTGTTCGTTCGTTCGAGCTTTTTGGTTTGGCCCTAATCGAAACGTTGCTCTCTCCCCGGATTTCTTTCCTGATCTTCGGACCTCGGAGTCGGAGCTTCGGTAGTAGTGTGTGCTCTGTGGTGAGATTCCTCTCTTCTAGGGTTTTTCTTTGATCGGATTGAATCTCGGCCATGGCCTCTTACAGGCCGTTTCCCCCGCCATCCTCATTTGGTCCGCCGCCGAGCCAAAACCCACTCCCGCCGCCGCCGCCGCCGCCGCCGCAGCCAATTTCGCAGCCACAGGCGGGTGCGCAGTATTCGCAGAATTGGGGTTACGGCGGCAGTGGAGGTGGTAGCGACGTGCCTATGCCATCGGCTGCTTCCGCTGCATTCCCTCAAAACTACAGCCAAATGCACCCGAATTCTAGTTATCCCCACCAACCTTACAATCCTTCAAGACCTCAACACCCCCCTCCTCCCCATTATCCGTACCAGCCGCCTCCGCCACCTCCACCGCCAGATTCTTCATATCCTCCGCCCCCACCTCCGCCACCTCCACAGAATTCAGCAAGCTTACAGCCTTCTCCACAACCACAACAGCCTCCGATGTATTACCCATCATCTTCGCAATACACTCAGTATAATCCTGCATCAATGCAGTCATTGCAGCCACCACCGCCTCCGCCTCCCCCATCATCTCCTCCTACTTCTGCAATTCCACCGCCACCGCCACCCCCAAGTTCGCCTCCTCCTCCTCCTCCTCCTCAGAGTAAAGAAAGTTCAGGCTCTGATAGGAAATCCCTGGAGCGCGATAAAGGTGCTTCGAGAGAACGTGAACCTGGTAAATATGATCGTGGATTTTCCGTTAAACCGCATAAACTCCCCGCCCCGATGGTGAAAAAACCGAATGGGAATTCGGGGAGGGTGGAGACTGAAGAAGAGAGGAGGTTGAGAAAGAAGAAGGAGTATGAGAAGCAAAAGCAGGAGGAGAGGCACAGGCAGCAGATGAAGGAGTCACAAAATTCGATATTACAGAAGACCCACATGATGTCTTCAGGGAAGGGACACGGGTCAATTGTCGGTTCTAGAATGGGGGATAGGAAAGCAACGCCATTCTTGACGGGTGAGAGGACTGAGAATAGATTGAAGAAGCCAACCACTTTCGTGTGCAAGTTGAAGTAAGTGTTTTTGTGTATACATTTATTTCAGCCTGTGTTGCTTGCTAAGATAATGCTGGCTGCATGTGTAGAGACTTTTCTTTTTGCCTAACATTCGTAATGCCATAAGCAAGTTTGCTGTTACCACCGCATCTCCCACTACGAGATTTGATGTTTTTGCCAGTACAAGATTGCAAATTAGTAGCTAATTTTGTGGTGGCTATGTGTATAAATCTTCTCATGAGTTTTGGGTGGCAGTGCACGATTCTGACCAACTTTGTATTTATATGGTGTCCTTTGTTGTATCTGTCTGGATTCTGCTGCACGTGATTTAATTGTCCTTTGTGCCCATCCTATTTGAATAAATTTCAATAGTAAATCAGCTCTTGTAGATTTTTCAAATTATGGCATCCTCAAATTGAAGACATTGCTTAAATGATGCAGGTACACAGATGAATACCTTGGTAAAGTAGATATGTGTAGTTGCAAGTCTAGTGAGGGTGTACATACTGATTATGATGACTAAGATTTCTCTTTAAGGTCTTAACATGTTTCTCGTGCTATCGAATTTAATTAAAGGGGGATATGTGACCATAAACGGAGAGCATCAGCATCAAGTCAGAAGGCATAATGGGGGGATGAATATGAATGTATCTTTTGCAGAATGTTGACTTGGTAATTTATATTATATATGTATAGGCAGACTTTTTATAACTATATGAAGTATTAAATCATAAGTTTTGTTTTAATTTTTGAGGCCACAATCCATATTCCGGATTTTCTTTTTGTTTGGATTAGTGATAACTACTCTATGCCTTTTCCTATCCTTTATTTGGAAATCATACCATGAAGTGGCCATGCCTTTTTAGATGACCTTCTCTTGTGTAAGGATATGTTCTTTGGCAAATGTTCATGCATTCTAATCACTGAATTAGCTAAAATGATGCATGATTTGTGAGATTAGAAATGCAACTTACCGAGTCCTAATAGCATTTTGAAAACTAAAAGATATAGCATTATCATATTTGTTTCCAGTTTATGTAATGACAAAGACTGATATTGTTTTGCAAATTCTGGCTGAAAACTTCTCTTGTACTTTGTCGGTTTCAATATTTTCATCTGAACAGTTCGATTATTGTAGATAAGGAGCGACGATTTATTGATGGCCTAATGATGACAAATAGTATCTTCAGCTTACCCTTAATTTGCTTTCTGTTTTTCGAAGATTTCGAAATGAGCTTCCAGATCCAAGTGCTCAACCAAAACTTATGGCTTTCAAGAAAGACAAGGATCGGTATGTAACATCATTGTGCTGCTGAAATCGATTTTTTCCCTGGGTGCATTTATGAGTAATTTTGCCTTAATGTCACTAAGCTAATTACACCTGCTCTTTCAAGAGTATTGCATGTCTCATAATGTGCGATATAGTTGAATTTGGGAAATTAGTAGGAAAGTGGGGAAAGAATTACAGAAAGAGCATTCATTCATTAAGGCTTTATAAACCATTCAGAGGATCGGTATAGAAGTGCAAAAGGTTGTAGTTATACAATGATTTCTGTGATATTACTCCATCAAGATTCGTGACAGTAGTTGGATGGTCAAGGTAATCCCAACAGAAGACTGAAATTTCACTTTTTGGATCATTATCGTTACAGTTTTTGAAGAAAAAGAAATTGGAGCTTTACATGATGCATGATCTTATTTGAAGATAAACCCTGCTATTTTTTCCTTTTTGCAGATTTGCTAAATACACCATCACATCTTTGGAGAAAAGTTGGAAGCCCGAACTTCATGTTGAGCCTGATCTTGGCATACCCCTCGACCTGCTGGACCTGAATATATACAAGTATTTTCCCAGCCTCACTAATATCTTAAATGGTGTCACAATTGTCTCATATCATCAGTCATCTGATTTCCTTTCACTTTTTTACTAGTCCTCCAAGTATTCGCAAACCCCTTGATCCAGAGGACGAAGAATTACTGCGTGATGATGATGTGGTGACACCAATAAAGAAGGATGGGATAAGAAGGAAAGAACGACCTACTGATAAAGGTGTTTCTTGGCTAGTTAAAACTCAGTACATATCTCCTCTCAGTTTGGATTCAGCGAAACAGGTGGATGGCCTTACTGATATGAACTTTTTTTCAGCAAATATTGGTTTGGTTTAGTTATTGTTAATTGCATTGCAATTGCAGTCTTTAACTGAGAAACAAGCAAAAGAATTGCGTGAAATGAAGGGAGGTCGCAACATTTTGGAGAATCTCAATGACAGGTTTTCTCTTCTGATCATTTATCAGGAAATATCCTTATCGTAGGATTGTTTGTCGTTTTCTTTTTGCTAAAGGAGCAATCTAATTCCAGGGAAAGACGAATTAAGGAAATCGAGGCATCATTTGAGGCAGCTAAGTCAGCCCCTATTCATGCAACCAATAAGAACTTATATCCAGTTGAAGTTCTGCCTCTTTTACCCGATTTCGATCGGTATGTACTCAATCTATGCTTGTATTATGGCTCATAAGAAGGAATCAGTCTTGATAGCTTCTCTTGCATGAGACTTGATCTGCTATGGAAAACCTGTTTTTTTCTTAATTCATCATCTGATGTGTATGCATGTACTGATTCGTCGAACATGAGGGGTTGCTTTATGTTGCATGTAAAATGGGTTGATATAGAATTGTCTGGGCCGAACACCAAACGTTTTCAGCCAATGGTAAGTAATCTGTAGTTGGGGCCAATGGTCAGTTCATTGACTAGGCATTAGCAGAGACTGCTTGGATTTAAATTTTCACTGGAGGCATCGTATGATTACTACCAGTCCACGATGAAAAATGTTGCTGCTAACTGATTTCATATTACATGAGAGTGACGATGACCATTTAGCGTTGTCTGTTACACTTGATGCAGGTACAATGATCAATTTATTGTTGCATCATTTGATAATGATCCCACAGCTGATTCAGAAATCTACAATAAGTTGGAACAATCTGCCCGTGATGAATATGAAGCAAAGGTGAGTTGTAGGTCCTCTTGCACAAATGGTCAGGAATAGTTCTGTTTAGTAGATGTTGTCATGGGAAAAAGGTTAAGAATATTTTTCAGTTAATATGTTGCTTGGAGTATTTTACTCCACTAGAAAAACATGTTAAAGCGCGATAATTACTGGGTAAAAGTACTCTGCTGTTTTCCTTTAGTCTCTCTTTTCTGGTTTCCTGGGACGTTTAGCCCTTCTTCTACCCGAGTTTTTTTTTTTTCATTTTAAATTGTGTGCAATATCCAATTACTTGAGGGGTAAGCAACATATCATCATGTCCATTTCAGGCTATCATGAAAAGTTATGAGGCCGTAGGCTCTGATCCATCGAAGCCGGAGAAATTCTTAGCCTACATGGTCCCATCTGCAGATGAGGTAGACTCGTGTAATTGCTTCTGTTTCTGGCTATCAGTAAATACCATTTAACCGTGGTGGATGTTTATGCTAGTCACAATGAGTGGTCTTATTTATTTTTTGATGGCAGATATCGAAGGATATGTATGATGAGGACGAAGAAATTGGCTACTCTTGGCTTCGGGAATACCATTGGGATTTTGTATGTGAGAGAACCTACTGTGATGCTTGATGGTACATCTTGCAATATCTGTTATTAAACATACAATCTCCCACCTTGTGTGCAACAGGTTAGAGGCGGCAATGACGCAGAGGAGCCCAGCACATACCTAGTGTCATTTGATGAGGGTGAAGCACGCTATGTGGTAAATATCGACATGCTTTTTCTTTGGTTTTTAGGATTTAGACCATATTTTAGTAGCTTCATTTATTGTCGTCACAATTCAGCCTCTTCCCAAAAAGCTGAATTTGAGGAGAAAGAGAGCAGAGGGAAGATCCAATGATGAAGTCGAACATTTTGCAAGACCTGCCAGTGTTACTGTGAGGCGCAGACCAACACCTGCTACTATCGAGTTGAAAGAACCAGGGGTATAGCCACAAGTGATTTTTATGCTGTCAGTTCTTTGATGTTTGATTTTCGGTAAACATGGTCCTGGTCTGGTGTCCTACAGGTCTACTCAAATTCAAAGAGGAGTGCTTCTACTTCTAACTTAGGGGCTTTAGAAGACGATGAAGATGATCTTGGATCACCTGAGAGGGTCACACAGGACGAGCATATGGAACGATCTAGTGGAGCGGAAGATGACATGTCTGAGTGAGCAGGTTACCTGGTGGAAGTAACGGTCCAGCGTTGGAATGTGCAGTTATAGCACCCTGCTCTATACAGAGTTTGTACTGAGGTTGCTTTTTCGTTAAGATAGGTTTTTCCTTCATCACCTTAACGCTAGAGGGAAGCTGTGCAAAAAGATAAAGATACAATAATGTGATGTTGCAATTGTAGTTAGCAAATGCCAATCTTCATAATGGCAAATGGTTCTCCCTTTCATCTTCATTTCTCAGTGCTCCCATTTTTTTTTTGGGCGAGAATCGATCGCCTGGTCCAGAGTTTCAAGCCTTTCTAGGCCCGTTCCACATGAAAATTGGTAGGATCAGCTAGCTTTAAGGACCCGAGATCGTTTAGAATGTTTGGAGGAGTAATTTGCTGTTGGGCTTGAGATCAGCTCAGTTTCTTACCGAAAGTCCGATCTGGGCTAGGCCTTGCGTTGCCGTAATTCCCCCACATTGGGGCCCAAATGTGAGCTACATCTCTAGCGGTCCTTTTTCCTGTTTTAGTTTCCCGGTTCTTGTAGTATTGGTAATCGTAGAGCTTAGAAGAAGGAAATAGCCAAACTTAGACTTTTAACTTCAGATGGTAAATTTCAGGTACTCCATCTCTGAAGTCCCCATAAAAGAGCACCCGATGCATCTGAAAGATTCAAGCTATCTAAGTAGAGGTTAAAGCTGTTGTCGAATATTACAATGATGCTCGTTGTTTGGGGAATAAATGAGAAAGAAAATCAAATAACTACACATGCTAATTAAAGAATGTCCGGGTGAATATTTACATTTCTTGCCAATTATCAATAAGGGGGTGTGTATCTAGTTGGAAAAATTTAGGAAAACTTATGGTCAGCATCGAACTCCCCGAAACTAAGTTGCTGCAGGTGATGACCTGCGACAGTCGAAACACAAACAGAACGGGGGAGTTAAAAACCTCATGTAGCAAATATCATTGATACCAATGTCTCACTAGACAAGTAGGTAAAAAGACACGGACCAGGCTTGCCGACATCTGACGGCTTGTAGTCGCACAGGCCTCTTTGGATCATCAAGTGCCCTTGATACAGCTTGCAATACCTAGAGAAAACAGACATGGTCTCAGATTAATATGTACATACTCATTGGATGGGGACATACACAAGAAGCAAGCATAACCTACTTGTGTTCTCAAGGGGTAAATCCTAGAATGGGGCAGCATTGACATGGCAACGAGACATTGAAGTGCTGTCTCTCGAACAAGCTACGCATGCAGAAGATATATAGGAGTTATGAGTAGCAAAAGGTCAGTAAAGAACACTAGATGCTTTATCATAATTACTTGTGCACAGGGAAATGGAAACAGTACAGACAAACGTGTCTAGGTGCAGAAGCATGCAAGGAGGCTGTTTCTGATCCCAAGTGGGTAAGCTCACTGATATGAGAAGGCTCGACCTCGCAAGAAGTAATAAGAAAGTACTTGCACCAATACAGAGAATGATGTTGAATACAGTACTAGTGACGATACAATCACCTAAGAGCCAAAGGTTACAACAGAGAAGTGTCACTGCGGCAATTGCTAACTCAATGTTCAGTCTTCTAAGCATCACAACTAGCTGAAAATGTCTCTAGCAAGAATTCAACAACATGCGTATCCAATGTCTGAGGACTACAACTAGATTATGTTAGTATCTCCCTGGATTCTCGAATAACTTTTTTTTCTTGATTTTAAGTGACTGGATCTACTTTCGGTGTATGAGCTTATACCCCCTCATGCTATGTCCTCACCAACCTATGAAACGTGTCTAGACTGAAATTTTCCCTCTGTTTTTCTACTCGCATTTTGATGTAGAGAGAGAATAGTGATACTTTAAGGTACGGCCGCTGCCTGAGTTGTCCCTACTGAACAGGATGACCCTCAGGTTCCAAAACCTTTGCTTTATTACTTTAGAAACAAACACCTATTGCTAAGGAGGAACAAAATGTTCAAGGGTGAGTCAGAAGTGACCTCACCCATCCTGCCCTGCTGTTACATGCGATTAAAAAAGACAGAGTGCAGCTGCATGCACAGAGAACAGGCAGTGGAGCTGATTATTAACACATGCAAGGCAAGCAGAACATTAGTGTGATCATTTGGCAGTCGCTAACTTTGAAGACTGTAGGATGGCTAGACGAACACGTCGAAACCTTTGCGCATTGCTGGGAGTCATCTTGACAGAAAGAAAATAAAATACAGGATCTAATGGGCCAAAAGCAAATTCCAGCATTAAATATTTCTAACTTTGGGGAAGAATCACGAACCATCATATGGGGATAGCTAACCATCCTGGTGAGGCAATTAATAATGATATGTGCATTCTCAATGACAACCTCCTGGCCTGCAATGCAAAAGTTTAGAATTTCAATCCTAGGCAATATTTGAGCAGCTAGTGACACAAAAGACAGGCTTAAGGACATGGTATACATGATGATAATCATAAACAGGGATAAATCTTGTTCTAAACCGCCGCACCATCCAATAACCAACCCCCATCTGGATCAAGATGATCCAGACATAACATCTTTTTTTTTTCATCTCAAAGTTGGCTTCAGCAATCGAATGCAGAAGCACAACAAGAAAAGACATCTCTAGTCTGTCATAGGTATTTCATAGCATCCGTAGCATCAATCTTCTGCCAGTGCCCTTTTCTCACAGTACAATCAAAATCTGTGTCACTCACTTAGTAGCTATTCAATTCACCTATCCCACTACACGGACACCAAGGAATGCACCCATTTTTCTTTATTGTAAAAACCTAGAAATGGATATGTAACAACTGGGGACACAAACCTAATTAAGTCACTCAACTTTGTTTTTTTGCTTTTCTTTTTTCTTTTAGATCAGGACGCTGAAGAGATGATTTGAGATATTGGAGGATAAACTATTGACAGGGAGACATCTCAATAAAAACAGCATCATGATCCATGAATTTAAACTAAGTTTTACCACCCAAGAAAAAAGCTATAGTAACAGGCTCGCATAAATAACACCAATAATCTGGCATGCACAGGAACTGTTTCGCCTAATTATTACTACTAAAAACATACAAGGACAATCTACAAAACCAGGGAAGTAAAAGCACACTTCACAACACTCTTCACCAATCACTCCAGACGAACACGATGGGTGAAGCTATTCTTCTACTCAGGGCAATCATGACATCTAAAGAAGTAAGAACTTCGCCATACCAGTCACTAAAGTCTAGTTAATGATATGAACAGTCTTACATGAATCAGTACAAAATCCAGAATGTGAACAAGTTTCCCAATCAACAATATTCATCCTGTAATACATATACATGATATTGAATATGACATTCAAATTACACAATCAACCTATTGTCTACAAGTATTTCCCATTAGTTATATGCCCACAGAAGGAATCGGGAATCGGGACTTCCTGAATTTACAATTCCCAGAGAATGAAAGAGCAAACGAGAGCACATTGTCAGAACTCAATAAATAGATAGAGTAGGTTTCACTTACTGCTTTTGTCTGTCAATATTCCAGACAGGAGCAACAGAAGACTGTACATCGTATCTTTGTCCTGATTATCCTTGCTGAACATCAGTAAGGCATCTAGAATAACTGGAGTGAGCTACCAAAGGAAGAAACATGTTCTTGCTTCAGATTGTCAGATTGTATATTCTAATAGTAATAGCATTTGGAATAAATATTATATGCACAGATCTCATAAGAAATAACTAGAGCTCTGAGGTTCTGGATATAAACCTTTTTTGCTTCTCCCAGGACAGCAACTAGGGGAGTCTCGGACATTATGTATGCTAGAGCCCGACAAAGAACAGATCTGTATTAGGAAAAAGTTTCACTTTCAGCATATAATTATCATAGACTGTCTCAATAATAAAGAGTGCCTCAGCCAGTTTAATCAAATGAATTGACCGAATGATAAAAGGCAAGACCATGATAATAGTCAGAAATATATTACGCTTCACAACAAAACCAATAATAGGACAAGGTAATATGAATAGTAACATGGCAGCAGTCCTGTAGCAATTCAATGATGCTCAATACACATTTCACAGGGACCTGAAAGGGTGTCCTACATGCAGAAGTGTAGGAGGCTCTGCTACACGTTCAAAAAAAGTAAAGCAGGTGACATGGCTCGAACAAGTACATATTGAGCCACAGATCTCTCCAGAATAATACAAACATGGTGAGGACAAGGCCACATTATGGCCATCTGTAACTTCAAGCTTTTCTGTGCATACAGACCCTGGAAGATTCGTGAACCTTGTCTAACTAGAAGCTATGGCACTGAAAGAAAGCACATGGAAGGGCCTCCACTATTTCGATAACAATGGAGGGCTGCCAGAAGAATTACAAAATTGGAAAATGAGAATACTTTAGGGGGAATTGAGAAGGGTAATCGTACCTTTTGAACAATGAATCAGATTTAATGATCAATGCTCGAAGTATGGGCATCATAGTCGAGAAAAACCGTTGCTTGTAGAGAGGTCGTATAATTGCATGGTATCTTCGACTTAAACAAACTTCTGAATCACTCATCATGACATGAAATGCATCTGTCGCATATTTCATGACAGAAGAAGATACATCCTGCTCGCAATTTTCCTGTCCAGAATCTTGTCTCAAGTGCCTTCCATCTTTGGATGACAAACACTCTAAAAGTATCATAACAATATCTTTAACCTTTTCATGGCCACACATCAGCAAACCTTTTCCTATCCATGCTAATCCAACAATGGCATTGATTTGAAGCGGTGTACTGTTTGAAGCACCAAAACACAAATCAGTTAAATTCATTGTGCTTTTATCGCCTATACCCGTAGAGATCCCAAGAGCACTATCTGCATGGCTAATACTCTTGTTGAAAATTATATCCATTGCCTCTTCCAAAGGACGATCATCCAAAGTACTTTGGCCATTGGACTTGGAACCGAATTTGTTCACCAAAGAGCCCAGTGCTTGTGCTGATGGAAGATGCCCCTTGAGGAGCATTTCCATGAATAGCAATAGTGTAGCTCTCACATCAGGAAGGTGAGTCTGGGGATGTATTGCCATTATTACAGATGAAAATAGAGAGAGAACCCATCTGTCTCTAAAAGATAGTTTTAGCTCGTGAGATATATCCAACCCTCTCATATCAATGGGATTAACAGCAGATTCATTCCATGAAAAGAAATGGCATGATGAAACAACTGCATAAGCCTTCTCGACAATTACATTCTGGCT